TCGTAAGCTTGTTACCGTTCAACTTCTCCAGGAAAAAGGGTCTCGAAGTCTTTTCATCAACGTCGGCATAGTTTCCCAGCCAAAGTCCCGATAAGTTTGCGATGCGTGCAGCCCTGAGGAACTCGAGGAGCACGCGCAACTCTACAGGAATTTCACATCCTACAAACCCGCAGGAAGTTTCGCGGTCGGTCGACGTATCCTTGGATCGTTCCATTCGTTAGCGGAGTTCTCTCTCTGGCGTTCTATTCAGGGTTTCCTCGCTCGACTGAAAAACTTTCCGCTTTCAAGGTTAGTTTCCTCTTCGTGGAGGAATCTGCAGTCAAAGAGGCGATACGTTTCAATAACCGTTGTCCTAACGCAACGATACATCGATTGGGAATCAATTTCTAGGTACTCCAGTGGCACCGATACGTAACGCTTTAAAGCGTTAAACGTCAGTGCTGGTCGTTTCGATATGAAAAGCAAACGGATGAACTTATCGAAAATTGTAAACACACGTGGCTCAGCTGCCACTTCTTTGGCGTCGTGACGTTAACATTTTCGCGATTCCCTACCTTCCCGTGGTTTTATATACGGAACCCTTTAGGACATCTCAACCGTGGAACGACTTCATTATTCGCCCGCATTCTTCACCCGAAATCTGGCGTCAGGAGGACGACCACCATCCGGGTCAAAGGACGTACGTTTGGAATTCGAATCGTCACTGTCTTTTTTTATTGCCCACGTTTCTTTGTGTAACTGCTCGAATCGAGTTCACAGGCAACTCGTTACAGGAATAGAAACTGTCGACACGACGTGAAGCGTATTCAAACACCGAAGGGTCCAATGTTCGCGAGTCAACAATTGGAATAACGCGATTCTCCGTGGCGACGCGCGATCTTCTCTCGTTAAGCAGTCCAGTAAACGTTTCGGTAGATTTGATCGAATTACAAGGAATGCCACGTCTCGCGGCCAATGCTGCAAACTAACGCCAGCAATTCTCGCGTCGATCAATGGGATTACCCCTGCCCCTGCGCCTGGAAGATGAGTTCCGGTGGATCCGATTAGAGTGGCGTAAGCTCGATCGGACTAGAATGGGCGTCACCGGCTGCGATGATTTATAAATGACAGCGCAACTGCCAGTGCAACTACCAGCTGACGCGTCCATTACTTTCTAATTGCTAGTAAAAGGAACCACATCGATTGGGAGACGAAGGAAATTGGTGGGTATACGCGAGCGCATAAAAGATGAGGCTGGAGCATGAAACGCGTGGGGAAGCCATTTACCGCTCGCGATCACGAACGGACATCGACGTATCGACGATCTCCGATATATAAATCACACGCTCGCCATTCGGACATAGCTGGCTGCTACGACGCGATTCCTCGATAATTTGGCTAAACGCATTCCCGAAAGGAAATTTGTAAACCTCCGTTCGATGTCGAACCATTAATTTCTGGGTATTGAAAAGTAATCCCTCGAAACGATATCGAGTAGAGAATCAAAGGAATATGTGTATTTCATCAACTGCTGTCTTAAAATTGTGCTCTAACTATTTGGAAAACTTGTCATCGAGTATTCGACTGAGACACCTGACCATTGCTCGCTACTACTACTTGCGTTATAGTTTCTGATCGACAGAGACGCGAACAAACTCATTCTCGTAATAATTGAACGCGTATATGTTAATTGTCCACCGTGAAATATTTAATTTTACAATTCAAAGCCTGGGTTTCATCGAACGAGTAGTTGATAAAAAGTTATTAATCGAGATAAGAATTTTGCTCGTCTCCGGTAAACGGTAACGAAGGTATGGTATCTCTACCATGGGACAAGCAGTTAAAGCAGATAATATCGTACCACCGCCACTGTTCTTAACCTCTGTAAGCTCACAGCGCAGTTTGGAAGAGGGACTAAAAATAAATAGCACGAGTACCAATTTTGGAACGCGATAAGGTTTTACCGACACCTTAAAAGTTGTTTGCTAAATGTGCATTTAAAACCAGGTATCTTAAAGATCACCTCGCTACTTTCAATATCTATTTGCGCACGAATCAGTACCAAATAGGAAATACAAGAAAAATAATAACAATAAAAAATGAGTCCATCTATTTCTATGTACGTCGCTTCAGGAAAAGTTTGGAAAGTGTCGAAAGGCATGCATTTCGATTGCTGGAAGCTACATCGAAAAACGCAAGTTACATTCCAGGAAACGATCAACAAAATGCACTTTCGATAATGTGCGCGCATTCTGCAAAATGTATGCGGCGAGTTTCGAAACTCTCGTTCGCTGGTGTATTTTGTCCAACGAAAGTTCCGTCTGTCTCTTCCAAGGGATTTCAAATTTTCTATTCTTGCGGGATTCATGAGCGAGAAACGGCCGAGCTCCAAAGTATCCGAACTGGGTGATACATTTTGTATTTGACCTTTTATCGCGCGATGTACCCGATTGGTAACCTAGTAAAGAAAATCCTTGCAAAGTTGGCAATATTTCACGCGATCGACCCATGATGTTTTCTCACGGGGACATCCACCAGCTCTGTAAACTCGACCACTTATTGTTTATATAAACTATCAATTTCACGGTAACTGTGCAAGTACTGTTAATTAAATTACGATTCACAATAGTTTACAGACAGCAAGGAAACAGAGAGGAAACAATTGTACAGCTTTTTGTCTCTACGCTTTTATATAACGTGCGCTCCTTTGATGCGCCAAAATCTACGTTCTTGGCAATACCGTTTGCACGTTTTCGCGACGTCCTCTTATTAAATACACTCTTCAATTACTAAATTCATTTTCCCTCCGTGACACGTTCGTGTGATGAACGTGACTCCACTGTTTACGGTGTATTTTTGTTTCGGACAGGAAAGTTTGCATTTCCACGAATTAATCGCCGGCTTATATTTGCGATATCGACTTCGAAAAAAGGATAAATACGAACGGCCTGGCAGAAGAGCGTTTGAAAATTTCAAGGCGAGCCGACGAGTGGTGGACGACATCAAGCGTCTAAAAACTGTTTTTCCTCTTTGCTTTCTTTGAACGTTTTCAAAGACCAAAAGTCGGTAACTCATAGCGTGTATGATTATTAAGCGTTAAACGAAAAAAAAAGAAGAGAAGAGAAAGCAAAGGAGGAGGATGTAAAATTTCGCGAGCGATTCGTTGGTGCGACTTTATCCGAATGCAGCGAGAAGAATGATATAAGGGCGGCGAAACGGGGTCGCGACAGACTGCGTCGACAGTGGCATAAGACTCAAGAAAAAGGAGAGAGGTCGGCGCGCTCTCGATAAACCGCGTCCCGCCGAAAATTCTCAAATCTTAATTGCGAGGAAATGGTGTGTAATGGCGTGAAATATTGCCCAGAAAAAGATGCTGACTCTTATTACGGTCGGCCAAGAAGGGAGCCTTTTAATCCTGCGACTTCTCTCCGCACCTGCCCGGAAAACGCTGACCCGCCATTTCCACTGCCAATCTGTTACGGACGCGCGCATTCAACAGAGGAAAACACCGACGGATAAGGGACGAGCATTCTCACGCGCGTCCCTCTTTCGTCTTGCTTCGCGCCTTCCTCGAAAGCTGGACTCTCCCTCTCGATTCGCAACCCCTGCTCTTCTTGAATACTGACACCTAGATTTCATCTACTGATTTCCGCTTACTTCGCGCGATGTCTTCTCTCCCCTGTTTACGCGACACAATTTGGAACAGAGCGAAAAAGAAATTTTACGGACTCGCATTCTCAAGTTAAACCTTCGTTAATATCCGAGACACCGGTACCTACGCTTGTAGCGAAGCTACGGGTTCTAACAGAAGCTGCAACGCGACAATATTCTAATCAGAATTATTTCTGGATTACACGCAGCGTAATTCTCTCGCCTTTTGTCGATGGGAACGACAACGGAAGTGGATTGACAATGCTTCGTCGCGTAAGAATTTTCGCCAGATTCGTGCCAATTAAGAACCACAGTCTCGTTAGGACGAAACGAACCACGGCTTAATTTTAATCTCAAACAATAGTTGGCCGTCGTCCGTTTTCCCTAGCGTTTCGTCTTCCCTCCAATTTCATCCGTGGGTTTCCGTTCAGCCGGCCGTGGGCTCCAGCGTCGGATGACACGAGTTTTCTGGAGAGAAAATCGAGCACGAGAGGCAAGTTAAGCGCATGGATAAACATTTACGACCGTGACGCGAACTCGCTGTTCTTCCCCTTTATTAAATATTTAAAGCTGCGCTGAACACGATCTCCCTCGCACGCGAGTGGTTTCATTTCGCGAAATAATAAAAAGCAAACCGTCCCGGGAATAAAGGAAGAACTGCGGAGACGAAGTCACGAAATCCACGGCGATAAACCATTCGTCTGACAGATATGTATTCCCACGTGACCTCGGATGGCGGATCCAAACTTATAGGGGGTTGAAGTTGATTCGAATTGACTGCTTACATTCGTTGGGTAAATAATGAGGACACGAAGAGTCTGTAGAGATTTCTGTAGCCAGTCCTTCTCGAAGAATCGCTCATTTATCAAGTTCCGTGTTAAGTCGTTTTCGCCCGACTTGTCGATCAGGCCATTTGATGTTTTGACTAAAGATTTTACAGAATTAAATTTGTCATAAAGTATATGTTTTCAGCGAATTAAATAAATACGTCACCGATGGTACACGTGGCATGGAACGTGTTAAGAACGTTTTCATCTTGTGAATGTTAAGTACTACACGAGTTAAGAAATGCAATATCTTCTTCTTGGAATGAGAATGAGCTTTTAAAGCCAGTGTCGAAGTTTTAGAGGAAAGCTGGAAACGAAGCTCTGTGTCCAAAGTGTCCCTTGGGTGGTCGAGTAATTTTGTCAGGAGCCCTTTGAGCAATATTCAAGGCTGCGAGCATCGGCTCGTCGCAGCCTTAACAGGTACGCTGGAGAGTAATCCGGACACATCGTCGAGGCGTGATGCGCGCGGCAGAGCCGTGCGGCGCCGAGGTGGCCGCGAACCTCGCGACGCAGGCGTCGAGCCCAGGAACGTTCGTCAGTCGTCGGGCGAACTTGAAACGCGTGGGTTCGCGGCCTCTTTGCCACGCGGTGCAAAACCACCTCCGCGCCAAAACGCCGTCACGCTTCTTTCGACTGATTCTCTGTGACTCGTGAAACTGTTCGTTTTCGCTCGGAACTCGACGCTCTTATAGTACCGATTCGTCGATTCGTTTCTCGTGGAGTTTGCGAAGGATGTTATTTTTCACCAGGATCTTATTGCGCGCGGATGTCAAAAACAATTCCTTGAGAGTTGACGAAGACAAGAGTTGAAAGCCGCGCCCTTATGCCTATGTTAATTTATCCATCAGTTTTCAAAGCAGAAGGTTTCTTGTTGCATTGGTCTTACGTGTATGTGGTTTGACAATGATGTTTGAAACTACCCTCGATAATCGTTCGGATAGAAATCGTCGACCGAGAGCGCTGTTTTAGGGAAGAGGACGCTGATCCCTCTCGGATCTCGGCGGTGGCGGTGAAGCTATTGACTCGACATACGAGTCTTCTCTGTTATTGTAGACAGGTTTGAGAAAACGTTAAATGTACTTTTCTATAGATTCTTACAGTCTTTAAACTCAATTGCCAAACCGTGTATTTTTATGTCCATTTTATACTCGATTAGAAATCAAGATTCCAGGTCGGAGGAATTTCAATTCCAATGAAACTTCATTGCTCTTCCAATCCATTTACCAGTCGTCGTATTGGAAAATCTACCGTCTACCATCTCTATTACCTTCGAATCTAATTTTCATAAACGTAGACAATTCGTTCGTACAACGTGGACAAATTTGTTCCCACAATTTCGTACCATTGTCCCATCTGCCAATCGCAGCGCGACGAAACCCCCATAGACGCTACCAGCTGGATTGAAATTCATCTGACCATAATTATCTTAGGATCGTCGAGCAACTCGCAAACACGTTTCCCCGCGGAACGTTTGCGAAGTGAAATATCCACGGTACTCTTTCAGCCAGAGCCACCGCAAATAATTTTCAATCAAGCTGTCCCGCAAAGAACTCACGAATCGTGTATTGTAAACTGCTATATCCGCGTTCTGATCGTGAGGTTCGTTGGCGTTTCAGCAACAGTAGTTTTCAGTTGTTTTCTCCCCTTCCCGTAGTGGTATTATTTTGATCGCGCCAACGCTGAAACTCGATTCCCGCAAACTGCTGGACTTCCAACCGAGAATTCGATCGCATTCCGTGAAACAGTAAGACAGTGGACAAATAAAGTTTCCACGTGGGACGCTGTGTGCGACACACGCTACGGAATAACAAGAAGAATAATGCCTGGTCGTAGTACGAGTCACGATTCCGTCGAGCGATAAGCGGTAAGACATCTAACTAACGTTTTATCCTTTTATTATTACTATTCATTAGCCAACAATTAGTATAGTAAATAAACGTGAACTAGAGGCCACCTCGATACCTACGAAATCACTTGCAACTTTGAAAGAGAACTCAGAGTTGTCGTAGTTAACGAAACGAGACGTTCACGAGCACCCTTGACAGGGTGCAGCAATATTAAAGACTTTATTCGGAGGAAGAAATTGATCTCCAAACCGTAATTAGCTTCAAAGTGACCTTCTCCGTGAAATCTCGCTACCCTATCGCCGCGCTTACGTCGCTACTTACCCCGTTCGAGCATTCTGACGCAGCAATTACATAGAAGGCAAACTTTGCACCACAAATTACAACGGCGCAGGAACACATGAGACAACTCCGATAGCATAACTACGCTCCAGAGATAATGACTTAAAACGTTTGCACGGATTCCCTTGCAGAACATACCAATCGTGTAATAGACCGAGAGTTGGGCGCGTAAAGTTGGCCGGCTAATTATTTCTAACCTGCCGTGTATTAAATTAGAACGCTAGATACCGTTTAACCGGAATGTATGTTGCAATTCCGCAACACCGTGTATATTTCACTCCACCGTAACGAATAAAAATGGTGGAATAGAAATATGAAGAGAAAATGTGCTAGAAGAAAGATGGTTGGAAGAAAGAGGGCTCGATGTCTAAAAATATCTGAAAAAAAGAGCCTGCGCAGATACGTTTTTGAATCACTGTAGCGCGAGAAGAATGTTCGATAACGAACCGGACAATTCGGCGAACCGTTGCAACTAGTGCGAACAAAGTTTACGGAAAACTTGTTTCGGAACCACGTTTTATTCGCCTGGTCGTGCGACGGGACCGCGAAATACATTATTTCCTGGCACGGGAGGGTCCCGCAATTTAATAATGTTGGCCCGATGTCCTCTACGTGACCGGATTTCTATTCTATAAGTTCTATCGTCCGACCAGAGTGGTGGTAAAGTTTCATCTTGCAGCAAGTTTCGCGACGAGCGGTTCTGCTCCCCGTTTCATTAATCTGAGGACGGCAGAAGTAATACCTTACCGCTGGCGATGCGTTCAAGATTCGTCGGGGTGACAAGTTCTTAATGGAACTTCGCCGATGGGATAACGTGAAAAATCGAGTAACTCTAAACGACGCTGGTCTCTAAATTCTTCGTCTCTAATCTGTCTTTGAATCGTCTTTCAAGTGTTCCAAGCAGAAAGAAAGATCAGACAATTTGTAAGTTCGCAAATAATCGCGTTTAATCTGTCTAAGCCCGTGGAAACTTGTTCGAGAAGCCTTTAGCTCCCGCTTCGTATCGTTGTAACCTCCAAACGGTGATTTTCGGAGGAAAAACACGAGCACCAGCGGACTCGACATCTGCGTTCAACCGTGGAGCTTTGTTTGTTCCGAGTCGGAAAAACGGAACGATCCTCCTTTAATCGCTCGACGCGAAACGTTCGTTATTTTCATCCTCTGTGCGACAGGAACTACGACAGGAAAAACTAGGGGGATGGTGGTTCGATCCAAGAAGAGAGAACTAAACCGAAGCCGTGAAATCCTGAGCATCTTTGTCAACGTTGCTTTTTATTGGAACTGGAATTCTGTGGAAGATCCCAGTGCTATCGATTTCGAAGCGATAACTAGAAGGTTAATAACCGTTCCGTGGCATCGAACCTGTGAGAATTAATTTCGTCCTCGAATATATTCGAATAAATGACAGATGTTTACTCGAACGTAGAAACTGCCGAGAAAAGCTCGAAGGAAGCAGATATTTCGGGCAGAGAAAATTTGAATAAAACCACGCTCCCTCCCCTTCGCGGCACGTCCTCTGCACCTCCGTCTTCCTGTCGTCCTTCCGACCCCTTACGCTCGAGAAGTAATGCAAGTTCCACGCTGGAAACTCGTAAAAAGCCGTGACCAGCTCGAACCACCGCCAGTCCCACGACAACCCGACATCTGCGGTCCAAATGCCTCTTCTATTCTCACCCTCCTCGCTTGGAATTCAACTATTCCGCGGGCCAGACAACCGCCTTTCCCTTGTCCTCCAGCGTCCTATGAAGGGCTGTGTTTTGCTAGAGTCCACCGAGTTTTCCTTGGATCCTTCCTCCTCGCCCGATTCGTCCAATTCCGCGCCGCGAAAAACTGACGGCATAACTTCGTAACAGCTAGCAGATGCTTCGATCAGCCCAACTTCCGGATATTGAGTCATAAGGTTTTTCTTAGGACACGAAAAATCGAGAAAAAGAACGTATTTCGCACGTTTTATTTTTCTGCTGAAAATTCTGGAGCTATAACACCTTTTCGCGTGGAATCACCCTCTATCCACTTGTACCGCCACTCGCAGAGGTACATGTTTTTATATCATTTTCCTTTATCGAAACGGATTTGTTTCGATAGCAGTTTGGACAATGGACAAACACTCGACAAATCCAAAGTAGATGGAGTAGTTTCTCGAATTTCGACGGTGTCGTTACCGTTGATTTAACATTCCATTTCGCGGGTCAAGCACGCGATTACGAGCTCTCGGTTGCAGCGTACTGCATACGCCAACTCGAAAATAGGATTGCGGCTATTAGGTTGGCAAGGTTGCGCAGGCTCGAGCTGGAGGAGGAAAGAGTTTCGCTTCTATTTTCTATTTGCGCCGGAAAGGTATAGTCGTAAGGAAAGAACCGTGCAAACATTCCTGTGGACTTACCATGTGGCGCAGTACCTTACTGGGCGTTCTCGGTTATCGTTTCCCTGGAATAGCCTTGCCTCCGTTCATTCGATATCCGACCGAGTGGAATATTCTGTTTTCGTCCGATGTCGTTCGCCTGGACCCTTGTCCGTTTCCGACAGTGACGTTTTACGACACCGCATTTGAAAGTCTTATAAAACGAATCTCGTTGCCTGTGCATAGAAACGCCATCGTTCCTATCTGTTAACGCAAGAAGCTGAGAAGCTTGTCGCACGATGCTCCCGATGTTCGGCTAGGAGGTAATGAAATTTCTCATCATAGATAATCCTGTTTTGTCTCCAGTGATTCTAACAGCTTTATAAATGACAGTGCTTCCGTTAGTGACGCGTGGCATCGAAAAATAGGTCCCTTCCGCATATAAAATGATTGGTCCGATGTCGAGTGACCGGTTACCATTTAACGAGCTCGTTCCATCACCAATTCCAGCTGTCGATCTTGAAGCTAATTCTGTACGTGTACAACATAATTCCGCCATCGACCGAGAACTACTTTCGGCTGTTCTCCATTGCGGAGTACCTGTCGCAACTGTTCTAATGGAAGGACCGCGAACGTCACAGTTCCCTACAGACGCGCGACTATCATTTTCTCCGGAGGTTTCCACGTTCCGTCCAATATCCAGCTAGAATATTCCGTTCCCTCGGATTTTGCGCTTCCGCTCTCGATTCAGCGAGGCCATCGTTTAAGTCACCCCCCTCTCGATGGCCACGTATACGACGATCGTAGCCTGCACGCGGTCCGAATCGTCTCCCAAGCTGTCCGCTGCAGTCGTCTTTCGGAACATGGAACTTGCAAAAAAATTGCACCATTCTACGGGATTTCGGGATCTGGGCAAATGGACCTCGACGGAACGACCGCTCGAATATAATACGAAACGAGTTTCATCGAGACGGGGGTCTCTCCACGATTTTGTACTTACGTTCGCGGTTCGTTGCATTCTACCGCGTCATTCGTACTCATTTGGAACGGACCAGCATCGATTGTGATCGAACCACGAAAGAATAGGATGGCATCTATGGCGACGAACGCGAGTACTTTGGGTAACTCGATATAGTCGGTTCCATAAATTGGCATACGGGTAAAAAAAAAATAGACGACAGAGACCCGCATATTTTCCATCGTGTTTGTCAATTAAAAAAGAGCCAAAATATACGCAAGACTCTTGTTTGCCTTTCCCGTATTTTTTTATTAAAACTTCAATCTATTCGCAGGTATAATTTTCCTTCAAAAAGTTCTACAGAGAACAGCTTCTTTCTCCGCTGGTGAATGAGGATAACCCCCCCAAAGTGGCGAGCGAAAATGAAAACGTTTACAAAAGGCTGGCCGAATAGACTCGGGCGCTTCCCTCGGACTCGTCGACTCCGTCCGAGATTCCTTCTTATCGCGCCTGAGCTCATCAATAACGGATCCGTACAACCGACGTTAAAGCAGAAGATCCGTAGTTAGACTTATCAACCCCTCTGATCTCCGAGCACGCGACCAGGGGTCCCTAACTAGAGGTCACGTGCCGTGCGTACGCAAAGTTGCAACCCTTGTGTGTTAACCCTCGACCGGATGATCTGTATCTGGCTCTAGATTATCATAAATAGCATCTGTAGCGAGAATCGGTGTTTGGATGGGCAGCCAGGTCGTAGCCAGGGCGCGATAACGAAACTGAGCATCGATAACAGGGTACATCGGTCTTACGGCTGAAAGATTTTCATTCCGATATAACGAGCCCTCCCTCGTCGTAATCCGACGACTTCGAAGAATAAACGCGTTGCAGAGTTTTCCCGAAGATTTTCACGGTGACGTTGCTGTAACAGGAAATTCCCATCGGGGGACGACACTTGCCAAAGTTTCGCCAGCCCCTCCGCGCCTGGTGGACGCGATTCGATCGAGATACCTCGAGATTCCTCGTATCGATCCGCGATCCTTAAAACTGAAACGAGACGTTGCACAAAGCCGGGCCGTTACATAAAGCCGTAGCTGAAGCCGAGTGTGGCGGCTAAATGGGTCACGGGCCACTTGCCCACGGGATTTCAATGACGACCGAGAGCTGGAAAACTCTGGCTCTTCCTTTAAGAGAAAACGTGTTGCGTCGCTCGCGGTGAGTTGGCACGTTCGGCAAAAACGCGTCTCGCGAGCTCCGCGGATAACGCGGGATGCGCGAGATTATCGACAGGGTGCTCTCTTTGATCAACGTTTCGATCTCTATTATAAATCCGCTTGTGAACGCTATTATATTAGGTAACCATGTGGAGGGTAATTGTATGT